GCAGCTTTGTTACTGAACTCTGCTCTTTTCAGCACGGTTGTCTTCCCGAAGCTTTTGACCGACCTGCTATCTGAAAGGCAGATTGTTTCTTTTTCGGCTTGTTTATTCCAGAGTTTCATGTTTTACTCTTTAGGATCCTCAGAATTTCTTCTGCTGACAGTCATGGCATTCGACAGATATGTTTCTATATGTAAACCTCTGCAATATCCAGTTATCATGCCAAAAAAGATGGTTAGTACCCTTTTATTTTGTTCTTGGACCATACCTGCTTTTCACATGAGTGTTTTAAAGATGGCTGTGATGACTTCTAATTCAAAGCTGTGCAGTTTTTCCCTTAAAGGAATATTTTGTGTTGGTCGACTATATAATCTACTGTGTGAGTACTCATTAGCATTAGCTGTTTATCCTACAGTCATTCTCATTAACGTTGTCGTTCTCCCTGCGCTCTTGATATTCTTTTCATACATCAAAATACTCATAATTTCATACAGAAGCTCTAAAGAAGTCAGAAGAAAAGCTGCACAGACCTGCTTGCCTCATCTGTTAGTTTTAATCAGCGTCTCATGTTTGGTTTCTTCTGATATAACCGTAAATACACTTGTATCTGAATTTTCAAAGACTGTCAATTTCGTTACTTCATTGCAGATTATCACTTATCAACCACTCTTTAATCCAATCATATACGGGTTAAAAATGCAGGAAATTTATAAATACCTGAAGAAACTGCTCTGTAGAGCCAGAGGACGTCGTCCTAAATAGTCATTTAGATGTTTAATCTGATCCTCTAGCGCTGTCTAATGTCAGAATGCTACTCACATTTTTCCACTTAAGTAAAAACTCACTGCAATGTTTGATCTGTCTGTTGAAATAATCAAGTTTCCCTCATTTCTATATCAGTTTTTAGAGTAAATGAGGATTTAATCTGAGTTTCTTGATATTTAGCTGTGGCCTCCCACATTAACAACGTTAACTGTTTTGCTGAGGTCATGTTCTTTATTTAGAATTCTGTATTACTGCTGAGTTACTACATTTATTTTTTTTATTTTAATTAAAATGTATCTTGTCTTTTAGTTTTTAAACACACATGCTGTCACAAATATTATATTATATTATATTATATTATATGATATTATATTATATTATATTATATTATATTATATGATATTATATTATATTATATTATATTATATTATATTATATTATATTATATTATATTATATTATATTAATATTAATATTAATATTAATATTAATATTATATTATACATCAGGTCTTTTCATTTCTTTTTTTTTTTTTTGTTTGGTGTTTGTCCTTTTCGAGTAAGTGCTGCATATTTTAGATTTTAGTGTCTAAAGAATAAATGTTATTTTGCCCTGACTACTTCGTTCCTGTGTTTCCTTCCTCGGTCCTGCACATGGATCCTTCCACCATTTCAAACCGTGACTTTGATTACAGAAAGGGGAGAATTTGCAAAAATAAGTGATGATGATATACAGAGTTAGAATATGTCCCATTTCATTTAGAAGCATTTTTTCACATTTTTCCAATCAATCAGTTTGAAGTTTTGCACCTCCAGCTGCTTCTTAATAAGTAGTGACAAATATACAGAATAAAATAATTTGTATTTACCCTTAGTGTACAAATTTGAGGTAATTTGACAGGGGATATTATATATAATTGATTGACTTAAGCCTCTGCTTAAATTAATACATCAACATCTTCAAGAGATTGTTTTAATGCGATATAATGTCAGAAGTAATTAACTCAGATTATTTTTAAGCACAACAGAGCATATAACAAAGCTGATCATCCATAGAAGATTTGCCAGTAATATATCAAATAATGGAAAAAAATAATAATAATAATAATAATAATAATGTGGCTGTACAAGCCATAATTGTATATAATATACACCAAATGTAAGAAATAAGACATAAAGTTACAGCTATTATAAATGATTTAAGAGTCATATTGATGTATAAAAGAAGTCCATGTATGAATGACAGAAACTGCCATTAAACCCCCTCTATTTATTATTTATACCTATTATTTATGTCTATAAAATCAAAGGAAGGAAGGTGGGAGATGAACCAAATGGAGCCGTGTTCAGACTTATTAAGTGTTAAAACAACATTTAATAAATTCAAGTTACCTGTGAAATTTTAAACCCTGAAATTTCAACTTTTTAGTTTTTGCTGTGTAAAATTCAGATTTTTGCTAAGTGTTTGAATATTCTTTTTGTCAGCTGAATACATATGTTGACTTTTTGGGTTGTTTAGTTTTATTTTTTTGGTGTATACAATATTCCCATTTTTGATATTGTTGTTTTTATTCTTTCAGAACAGTAGGCCGACGGTGGTGGCTGCCCTTGTCTGTTGTTTGGCCCCCACCCTCATTTTAAAATAGTAGTGCACTTGTGTGTGTGTGTGTGAGTGGGGTGCCCTCTGTCTTTCTACCACTTGCTTCATGGACCCCAACTCCAGTCACTGAGCCTCCTCTTCAGGTTTGAGGGTGTTAAATCTTTTTAAAAATAAACTTTTTCTTTACTGTCTTTCTCAGATTCAATGATGCTAAAACTCATTATCAGTTTTTACAGTTGGAGAGAATACTGTTAACTGGTTGGTTATAAATCCAGAATCAGCAAAGACTGAGTGATTAGATCTGCCAACATTTCAATCATTTTAATTATGATCTAATTAAGATTTCAAAGTCAAATCACAGCCATCATTTTCAAAATGCTGGGCAACACATAACATCAAGCCTCTTATGTGCTTTATCTCTGAGCTTCACAGCTTCACAGATGGCAACAAAAAAACTCAATCTGACATCTCCTTTGACATCTCCTCACATCTCCTTTCTATAAAAGATCAAGTTGCTTATAACAAATTAGAAGTAGCTATATTCTTCCCATACAACGCATTAAACCAAAGACTGTATTAATCCTGATTCACAGCAGGTTTACAGAAAAATGCAAAGCGGAAAAATGTATTCTTTAAGCGATAAAAAAAAAACTGTTTTAGAGACATGCATTTAGAGACATTCTCTCCACATTATAAAAAATCAAGAAGAGCATCTTAAAAAATTCTGTATGTACAATCTGATTATCTTAAATGTCTACCATACTTGTCTTAGACACAGCAACTTCTTAAGATGTCTAAAAATCTCTTTCATTTTTAGCCCATAAATGAGTGGATTGAACAGAGGATTATATGTGATTATCTGCACTGTCATTACAACGCGTACAAGTTTAGGAAAATCGGAATCTAACTTAATTATAACCACATCATATGTTACTAGAAGAGAATAGTTTATTAAAACTAGTAGATGAGGTAAACATGTCTGTGCTGCCTTTCTCCT